CATTGTAAATATTGTAAACCCATTTTCCCATTGTAAACCCACTATAAACCCACAACCCTTGGGTGTCCGCCAACCAAACCCAAGCGTCCGGTTTTTTTCCTGTGGGCCGCCGGACCAAATGTCAAGCGAAGGAGGCCAAAGAGCACTCGATCGTCCACCAAATGTGCCTCCGGAGCCACCATGGGTACCCTCTGGTAAACGTTTACAGTTTGCTATTGAAAATGGCCCAGTCGAAATTGGGATGATTTACTCATTAAAAATCATTAAAAGTGGTGATTTTCCGTAGCTATGTAAACATTTACCAGAGGGTACCAATACACCCACAACATGTGCCAAAGAATGACACCTCCGGTCTCATCCAACCTTGCAAGGCAGGATAGTGTTCAGGTAGTCATGGGGAAAATTCATCTAGAAATGGTGGAAATCATGTGAAATCATCCCATAAATGGAGGCTGGTTGGTGCTTTGAGCCCCTCTGAAAAATATGAGTCAATGGGATGATTATCCCATATTTTGTGGATTTTTTTTAGAAACCACCAACCAGGAGGGTAATGATCATTGATGGTAACCCACGATTTTGCTACACAGAGGGGTACCAATTCGAATAGCGACTTATTACTATGTTGGGGGTCACCCCGCCAATTTTCATGGTCAGGCTTTACGAATCCCCTAATATAGTTTAATCATGCTTAATCTAATCCAACCTTTTCATAGTTGGCGAATGTTGGTTTTCATGTCCCAGGATATATTCCCATTCGTATTCCATTGTATAAATGATCTTAATATTTATTCACATGATCTTCCCAGAATATATATAATATAATATATATATAATTATATATATATATTATATATAATTATATATATATAATCATATATTCATTTGTTTACATATTAGTATAGTTATTTATTTACATTCCCAACCATTCATGGTGTATCAATGACATTTCTTCATGGTGAAAAACCTCTGGCGCTGTTCGCCTGCAGCTCCTCGAAACCGCCAGCACCGGCCTTGTGGAGACTCATCCTGAGAAACCCGGAGAAGCCCAGCGACACGAAGCTCATCAAATGGTAGAGTGTCAACATGATATTATAGGTTATTATATGGTTAATATACTGTTAATAATGACTGATATATTTTGGAAAAACATATTATGATATTATGATGATATTATTATGATATTATGATATTTACCCTCTGGTAATTTAACATAGCTATGGAAAATCACCATTTTATATGGGAAAATCCACTATAAATGGGCCATTTTCCATGGCTATGTTAAATCACCAGAGGGTAGTTGATTATTTGATATGTATGATATATTATGATATATTATGCCATATGCTTAATATCAAATTGTTGATCTTGAGTATTTGTTGATGTGTGTTGATTTTATGAGTATTCATGATATTTAATGATCACCGGTTAATGATGATTTGACCACTGGTAGATGTGACAGACATGTTTTGAGGATTCGGAAGAGGGGACGTAGAAAGTGTATAGCTGGAAAATGGATGTTCATCACCCCATAGTAGCATAGGCATAGGTTTTGATTCATCCAGATTTCAGCTCATTTTTGTCTGAAATCTGGCATACCTCCCTTGAGTTACTTGAGTTTCACAGAAACCAACCTGGGTATGGGGCCTTAGACCCTGACATGAATCAAGTAGACTTGGGTACAGTATAGTAAATGAAACGAAAACGATAAAAACAATTATGTTTGTGGATATTCACAACCCATGCCCATGCGTTTACATTACCATCACTAAATTAAATTTTCAACCTCAATTGGGATATTACCCAACCAGCCGAGTTCCAAAAGGCACCCGTAAAACTCGCACGGTGTATCATCTGATTGATGTTTTGTCCCTACTCAAATGGCCATCTTTGGGTAGACTCGAACGCCTGATGTAGCCCCATTCTGGACATCAAATGGCATGAGCTGCTGGAACCAAAGTTGGAGATGTGCCTGGCCCCAAAATGAACATTCTGAGAGTGAAAATATGTGAACATGCAGCAAACATTATGATCTAGCACCATCTAGCACCTGCGATCTTGGAGAACCCCCGGCTTGCCCTTAAGCACCCCCGTAGCCCAAAGTATGGCCTCAAAGGCTCCAGGAGAAGCCAATTGTAAAAAGTCCCTTCTTCTGCCACTTCCACTAGAGCCTCTCATGCTGGCCATGCTGGCCATGGATATCCATGGATGCTGGACACGCCAGGCACGGAAATCAGGTTGACCATGTTGTGTGTTGCAAGTTTGGGCATGGGTTGCGAACAAGAATGATAAATCGTGCAGGAAAGGCAGGTGATACCTGTATACAAATATATACAAATGATTACAAATGTAACAAATGTGGCAAGGTGAGAGATTCATATTTTTGAAAAGTTAATCAACATTCTACACGTTAACATAATCAACATATTTTTGAAAAGTTAATCAACATATTTTTGAAAAGTTAGATCCTGTACAACATTAATCAACATTCTACACGTTTAAATCCATGGCGGGTTCCCAAAATTCACCAGGTTGGATTTTCAGAGTCCCCTGATTCGTCATTCCAGTTTCTAGAAGTGGAACCAGCATTCCTTGGTGATTCGTTCCTTTGATGTAAATTCGAGCGATGACGAATTACGAGCCAAATGACAAGTTAACTTTAAAAAGCAAATACGGGTAAGATATGGTAAGATTCACTGCCAGCATCGCCAACCAAGAACAGGCTTTTCACTGAGCCAGAATGGAAAGGTCCGGGAGGACGTTGAGCCTCTCGGTCTCTGACTTGATGCACTCTGTGCCATGCTTCCACTGCAGCAGCGGAAGAACGGCCGTTTGAATTTCGTGAGTCGCCTTGCCATTCCTTTGCCGTGGACCACTGAGGGATATGGATCCACTGGCAAAGCTAGATATGTTCCCAAGTTTCACACATAGTTCACTCTTCTCATCATTTTTCCATGTCAGGAAGCCTGGACGTTTTGCAGTGTTTTGTGGATCTTGTCAACGTCAACAAGGCGACTCCTACGGTGCCTTGACTGGTGCCTCGATCTGTTCACGCTTGGAACCATAGATGTTCTCTTCACAACAGCCGCACAGGCCAGGTAGTGAAGCGCGACCTTGAAACGGCGGCCTTTCTAAACGGCACGTGGGACCAAGGCCTTGAAAGCACATCGTGGAGATATGGTGACTGTACAGATATGTCTTAAACCTTGGGTTTTTTCACCAACATGGAAGCGGAAAATGCATCAGGGAAACAATAACGATTCACCTCTGAATCTTAGACTAGCGCGATGCGCTTCATACAGTCGCTCCGAGGCACTCATTCTTCAGAAAAGAGCAAAACATTTACCGCTGACAGCGTGTCTCAGCGGCGCCAATCCCATCACTCCTTGATATAGCTGAGATCTGTGGTTACAAACGGTTACAAACATCTGCGACAATGAGATCAATGATGTTCAATGTGGGCTTAGGACTGGCATTCATGGGTTGATCCACGCAGCTTTCTCTGCGCTCAACAACGGAGGTTGTTTTTTGTACGGAGCTCTGCTTCGCACTTGAAACCTTATAAACCAATGCACTTCTTCTCAACTGACGGGGAATGAGAAGGTCTGCGGCATTCTGTCCACCAAGCCTGCCCTCTTCATGAAGACTCTTCGGCTCACATGGTAACAACTTCGTCGTGCAGCAATCTAAAATTCTCATAAACCTGCTCTGCACAACAAGATTTCTTGGCAATCTCTGTGTTGCCACTATTGCAACCCATGAATCTCCTTTCTATATCAGTAGTGAACCAACACGAATGTCTTGCTGCACATCACAACTCTCGCTGGTGCAGCTATCCAGCACACGGAACTGCACCTCGCCCGCCCGAGGATGCAAACATCACATCATTTAAATGGAGACATCCATGGCAGTCCAAGAATACCATCCATCATCTGATTATCCATCAAAAATCATCAAAACATTTTTAAAAAAAAAGGAACACACCAAGCTTTGGCACGGCCTTATCCATTTCAAAGATGGTGAAAACGTGCTTGCTTCAGGAATTTGGAGGCGTTTTTTCTCAGCGACTTTTCTTCGGGAACTGCCAGAACTCTTCCTCAATCTGGACTCGGGACCACCCTCAGAGTTTCTTCCGCATTTTTCTCTGCAACAACCAGTAGCCTCTGGTAAGCTAACACTTTGCTATGCAAACCATGAATTTACCGTTGTTTGAAAAGGTGATTTGCATAGCTATGTCAAATTACTGGTATGAAGAAAACCCTGGAAAGGTGTCCGATTCTACGAGTCTTGATTGCTAGTTATGGATATTCCATGATATTTCATCAGATTCCTATACTAGAATATAAGTTTATAATGATCCTAACTAAATTTATGATATAAATTGATATAATACGTTCCCAGAAACGACTGACATGGCTGGCCACTGCTAGAGACATTGACAGTTCAGCTACGGTGCTTTAATGGTGATTTCGTCGGGATATTCAGAGATACATATATGGAGGTTTCCTAACATAGGGGTACCCCCAAAATGGAACAAAACCAACTGGGATAAATCATAGTGATTCACCAACCTAAAAGAAAACCATCCAACTGGATATGTTTGAGGTCTTGATGATTCAGCCAGATTCATGTAACACTCGGATTCGACATGGAGAAATTACAGTAAGACCAATCAACCCTAATTGGGTACTGTATCACGTTTATAATTTTGTAGTAATACCCAGATTCCAAAAACAAAAAAAGTAGATTCTAAGATATTCTAAGGGTTTACTACAAAAAAGTGGATTACCATATTCTACCATAGTTACTACCAGAGTTTCCCAGATTCTAAGGGTTTACCTACCACTTTACGCGGAAGCAGCTCGTCGCGAAGCCTGAGGACTTTCCTCAGCCGTGGGATTCTTCGGGCCCGAAGAAGCTTCAGCTCCGGTTTTTTCGGCACAGGGCACCTTCATGGTCTGTAAGAGGATCAAATTATGTCCAGTTCTCTAAGATGGAAAATTGTCCTGTGACTAGTGGTTGGAGCTAAAAATCAATGTCACGAGTGGCATTTTTGCTCAAGCGAAGGTGGCCAGAAGCTGGAAGAAGCTTTTCTCCTTGGATTTAGCAGAAAAATGACCCATTTGCCCATGAATTTTGCCCTTGTGGCTATCATCTACCTATAAATCTATAATGGGTTGCTCCCAATCCTGTATACCCTCATCATAGAGGCTATAACATGGAAATCCAAAATGGACCAAGATGGCAATGTCCCGTACCAGCAGGAAAATCACCGTCCAAAATCTCTAGAGCCTCTAGAACTGATGTATCGGGTTCCGGGTTGGTTGTCAGCAGAGTATCAATACTGGTTGGTGGGTTTCAATCCATCGCTTTTTTATGCACACATATAAAAATCACGATCGTCATCCGAGGCCGGAAAGAACATCAAAACGTTTTTGTGAAACCAGCAAGAATTCAACTTAAGTGTAATAAGTAGATTGCCCAAATGTCTGGTGATCTACCCCCTTAATATCATAATAAATCACACATAAAGCATTCACACTCCAATTCCCAAAAAAACTTCAAGAACTCCGGGTCTCAATGGGTGGCTCCCGATAAGGCGGTGGCTTTTTCATGGCCTCTGGACTATTTGGGTTCGATAGGAACTCTTTGGCATCCTTCAGCAAGCCATTCGACAGACCCATGCCAACTTGAAGCACCAGGCCATTGGTGGTCACCACCTGCCGGGCCATGCCGATCTCCATGATCCGCTGCTGGAGTTTCCCATGGTATGATGACTCTATGTAAAAACTTTAGGGGATCCAATGAAATGCCAAAAACATACTGGTTACTAGTTCAATCATATTCCATTACCAGATTACCATCTCCATCCTTCCCATGTTGGGAGAGACCCACAATTTATCAGCCGTTCTGAAAGGACGAAACCAGGCCTTGTGCCATCAAGCAGAAATCGGGACTGCCATTGCCACTATTACACGTGCCCAATCTCAGTTGCCCTGCCACAAGAAAAACTGGTTGCGGTCCCCATTTGCAGCAAAAAACAAACCTTACTAACGTACTGACCTATCCTCCAAGATTTCCCCAGATGTTCAATGCTTCATCATCATTTTCCCTATCAAAATCACCGTTTTGGGTAGATTCCCCTTTGGTCAAGCATACCCAAATATCATAATTATATATAAACATTGTTACTCATGATACCATCTGGTTCTGACTAACATAGCCATGGAAAATCACCATGTTATAGCTAGGTAAACCATCTATTTCGATTAGGGCCATCTATACCATGGCTAATTATGTTAGTCATAACCAGAGGCTATATCCCATGAAAACACCCCATTGAATCACTCTAAAATCCCATGAATTTCCCAGATCCCCATATCTTTACCCCAGGATTCCCACCTTTCTGTAGCAATGGAGCACCTTGGCCGATGCCTCGATCCCCATCTCACCCAAGGGTTGGAGCAAATAGTCTTCCACCTGCGAAGCGTTGCGCTGGATGAGTGCCATAAATCACCAGTTAGGCCGTGTTGATCCCAGATTCTTGATGGATGGTGGTTGATATTCATCCAAGTTGGTGATTTCGCAAGCATCCATAGTATTGGAAGATCCCTGGAAAAGGGATCTGATTCGGAGAATCCCTTCCCCTCCATAGTTGGGACCTTTTTGTCGAGGGGGATGGGATTAGAATGGGTATTGTTCATGGGCACATAATGGGGATATGTCAGTTAAAAATATATATATACAGTAATGGGATATATCATTATCACCAGCAATCATAAATCTATTGGAAGATCTCCCAGAACAATGCTTTGGTTTTCATGATGTTCATGGGGAGTCCCGCAAAACAATTATCAGCGGAATGTCAATCAAATCCAGATCCAAGAGCAAGTATACCTTCTAGCACCCACCCACCCAAAAAAAAAAGAAAGTACAATCGCATCCTAAATGTAGTGCAAGAAAACAAGTTCACCATCTTCTATTTTCTTAATGGGGTACTATTGTGGTTCCATGAAATCACAATTAAATCAATCAAAATTAAATATATAGATATATAACTACCATAAAATCACCATGAAAATCACCATGTTATCATCATTAATCACCATCATCACTATCATCACCATTAAAACACCACTTTATCATCATTCATCACCATTAGCCACTATATTAACCACTATATTAACCACTATATTAACCATTAATCACCATGAAAAATCACACTTTTACCATCATTCCATCATTCAATTTAACCATGATGATAAAGCATGAATAACCATTAACCACTATATTCAACATGGTTAATGTCAAGTGAGGATTAATAGTCCCCTCCCGATTAATCAACCACCACTGCCCCCCCAAAAAAATGCAATTTAAAAACAGGTGGTCCCCCCAGATTAATACACCCACCCGATTAAAAAACCACCAGTGCTGAAATCTTTTTTTTATCCGACATTTTTTATTTCCAATTCTATTTATTTCCAATTGTTTTTTACAATTTTTTTAATCATCATTGTTATACTTCAGGTTTAAGTTGATCATTGAAAATTTCAAAAAACAACTATTCCCCAAATGATCGATTTCTAATTAAAATCTTTATAAAAATCATCAGTTTGGATAGCTCCCAAAGGGTACCCCCCATGAGCCCATGTCCCCCATTAATAATAACCAGGGTTTGCCCCTGATTAATCAACCACCTTTCTGATCCATGAAATTTTAACAAATCCAATGGAATTCTATTCAGATCTAATTGACGTAAGCCATATCCAAAGTTTTATGGTTTAGAGTTGCTTATTATTAAGGGGTCGTCAAGAAAACTAGCCAGAAGGTACCCCCCTACCTTCTGGGGGGGGGGGTTATTAATCCGGTGTTGGCATTAATCACCATTAAATCACCATGATGAACCACTAACCTCTGACCTCCTCCAAGGTGTGGAGCTCTCCCCCGGGCACCCCGGGGGCCCCGGTGATGCGGAAGGGATCCGCATAGGACAAGGGCGAGAGAAAGAAGTCGTCCACCACGATGACCTTGGAAAATCCATGGGAAAATGGGGGGTTTTAGTCGGTTTAGTGGGGGAAAATCCATGAAAATCCTAACCGGAAACCATAGGTTTAACATGTTTTAACTAGTTGTTTGACATGTTTTAACCATGAAAGATGGGGTTTTAATATCGTATACAGCAATCCAATGACCTTCAACTCACCGGCTCCGCAGAGATTGGCACCGGCAAAGTCCTGCAAATAGCTCCTGGAGTCGCACATTCGGATGCTGGAAACTGCAACGTTGGCGGAACAAATATTTTGACATACGGCACTTTGCACAAGTTGTGGTGCCCCGTATTAGATCTTTTTAGCTAAGTTGGTTTGAACATTGGAATCACTATAGCTTGACGCTTGGGTTTATGATATAGTCTAGTTGGATGGGTGAACAGAAACCAACAAACATCAATGGACACCACCTTGCAGGAATGGACAAATTCGTTCAGAGTTTCCCAGCCGCGTACCTGATAGCTTGCAAGCGATCCCCAGCATGAAGTTCTGGTGTCAGCTGTGTCACATCATGGAAGGTAAAGTATCTGCCCAGGGCTTCGGATAAATCCAGCTCCAACCTCTGGCGTCGTTTCAGGTGCTGCTTCTTCCTCTTGGCATTCGCTTTTCAGGACCCCTGGATTCCCTGTGGATTTTCCCCCCAAGAATCGTCCATTTCTGGTGGGATTTCTGGTGGGATTTCCGGAGGAGAAAATGAGAAAAAAATCTGCCCATCGGTCCTCCAACTAGAGGAGAGCACCACATGGCACTTAGGGCCTGCCTCCTGAATCAGCTCTGACAGTCGACCAACCAACACCTTGGAGAGTTGGTCGTGACTTGCCAGCCTCAGACGATGTGATTAAAAAAGGCCACAAAGGAAATTCCTGTGGAAGACCTGTAGATTCCCCAGTTCTGGTGGATTTTCATCCATATCGATACATATATTCATTCTATATAGTGTGTATACATATTAGATCATATTAGTCATAAGCAATGGGAAAATGCATGAAAATTAGCCACAACTCGTCCACAACCCGGATACGCTTCGAAGGTGGCCGTAGATTCCGGATCTGCCGGGGTGGCGGCCAGCGCACAGATCTTGTAGGCCGTGGCCGAATCGAAGCCTCGATAGTCCATGGCCACGATCTCCCGAGCCATCGACAGTTCGCTGCTCTTCAGCAAAATGGGGGCATCGAAAGGATCATAAATTCCTCGGGCACCCATGGGATGGGACTCCACGAAATATATGGTTAATATATGGTTAGTATATGGTTAATATATGGTGAGTATATGGTTAATGATGGTTAATAATAATCTGCTTGGTGGTTTAGCTCGCCCTACCCCTCTGAAAAATGATGGACTGTCCGTCAGTTGGGATTATGACATTCCCAATATATGGAAAAAAAAATCGTGTTCCAAACCACCAAGCAGTGATTATTAACCATTATTAACCATGATTAACCACTATTAACCACCATTAACCACCATTAACCTCCATGGTTCCAGTCACCATTTTATAAAGGGAATTCATATGGGAAAATCATCAGAAAAGATGATTGATGGGGGGACTTTCCGGCAAGCCATGGAGCTGATGACCTGCTTGGGTAGATCTCAAGGTGTTGATTCCCAGCCATCCACTGAAATTTACCCTCTGGTTATGACTAACATAGCTATTGAAAATCACCATGTTTAATGGGAAAACTCACTATAAATGGCAATTTTCAATAGCTATTTTGACATAACCAGAGGGTAGGCGGTCTAGCATATAAGAGCCACCCGACCGTCGGCAAGGGGGTTGAAGATAAAATTCATCACTGACCGAAGCATCAAACGTTGAAATCTCTCAAATTGATATTACACATGTCCTGGAATCCAATCGATTTTAGTGAATGAAAAATATGAAAGTGGCTTACCAATCAATGACCAGATTCCCACATTGAGGACACCATCCACATCCACAAAGAGAATGGTATCCACTAATGACTCCGGCGCCGCCTCATCCATGGGGGCCATCTTTGATTTTTCGTGTCGTGGAGGTTTGCTGCTTTTTCGGGAGCCCAATGGCTGACCCGAAAGCAGAACCCCGGTAATTTTTGAGCCCTGGCTGAGGGAATCACAAGGGGTGACAGATGGTGATAGATCAGGCTGATCGGCGCGCTTTTCAGATTTTTCAGGCTGACTTGCCGGAAAGAAAAGGCAAAAAGGGCAAGAAGGACATGAGCAGTGTTCAAGACCCTCTGACGTTTTCTTGTACTGGTTAGTTGATAGGGATGTTCCATGATTTTCCTAGCCTAGGTTACTAGAATCCCGAATATATTGGTTAGTATCCCCGAACTACTCATCAATCAATATCAATTAAATCGGCATTACGTCAACGTGAGCTGGGCCTGGTCGAGAGACATTTCGAGAGATTCCTGCAAGGACCTCAAAGGGGTCGGGTGCTGGACTTGAAGTGCCATGATTCCATGATGGACATCATCTCAATCATCTCATTTTACCCTCTGGTAATTTAACATAGCTATTGAAAATGGCCATTTATAGTGAGTTGTCCCATTAAAAATGGTGATGTTCCATAGTTCTGTTAGTTTACCAGAGGGTAGTCATGGTAACAATAGTAATACATACGTAGTAATACTAATACCGAAACAAAATGCAATGACATTGCAATATATTATATTGCAATGATCATCATCATGGTCGTCTTGATCAGAATCATCACGGCAATACTTGACGTGTTTGTCCTCACTGTTGTTCTTGTAGCCATTATCATCAGCAAGTATGCGTCGTCAATATCATTAGTATCTTGATCGTCGCCACCATCAGCATCACTCAATCACCATCGCTATCACATCCACCATCACTCAATCACTCAACCACTCAATCACTAAATAACTCAATCACTCAACCACTCAATCACTAGATAACTCAATCACTCAATCATTCAATCACTCAATCACTAAATAACTCAATCACTCAACCACTCAATCACTAAATAACTCAATCACTCAACCACTCAATCATTCAATCACTCAATCACTAAATAACTCAATCACTCAACCACTCAATCACTAAATAACTCAATCACTCAACCACTCAATCATTCAATCACTCAATCACTAAATAACTCAATCACTCAACCACTCAATCACTAAATAACTCAATCACTCAACCACTCAATCATTCAATCACTCAATCACTAAATAACTCAATCACTCAACCACTCAATCACTAAATAACTCAATCACTCAACCACTCAATCATTCAATCACTCAATCACTAAATAACTCAATCACTCAACCACTCAATCACTAAATAACTCAATCACTCAACCACTCAATCATTCAATCACTCAATCACTAAATAACTCAATCACTCAACCACTCAATCACTAAATAACTCAATCACTCAACCACTCAATCATTCAATCACTCAATCACTAAATAACTCAATCACTCAACCACTCAATCACTAGATAACTCAATCACTCAATCACTCAATCATTCAATCACTCAATCACTAAATAACTCAATCACTCAACCACTCAATCACTAGATAACTCAATCACTCAATCACTCAATCATTCAATCACTCAATCACTAAATAACTCAATCACTCAACCACTCAATCACTAAATAACTCAATCACTCAACCACTCAATCACTAAATAACTCAATCACTCAATCACTCAACCACTCAATCATTCAATCACTCAATCACTAGATAACTCAATCACTCAACCACTCAATCACTAGATAACTCAAACTCACTCAATCATTCAACCACTCAATCACTAAATAACTCAATCACTCAACCACTCAATCACTAGATAACTCAATCACTCAATCACTCAATCATTCAATCACTAAATAACTCAATCACTCAACCACTCAATCACTAGATAACTCAATCACTCAATCACTCAATCACTCAATCACTAAATAACTCAATCACTCAACCACTCAATCACTAAATAACTCAATCACTCAACCACTCAATCACTAAATAACTCAATCACTCAATCACTCAACCACTCAATCATTCAATCACTAGATAACTCAATCACTCAATCACTCAATCATTCAATCACTCAATCACTAAATAACTCAATCACTCAACCACTCAATCACTAAATAACTCAATCACTCAACCACTCAATCACTAGATAACTCAATCACTCAATCACTCAACCACTCAATCATTCAATCACTCAATCACTAGATAACTCAATCACTCAACCACTCAATCACTAAATAACTCAATCACTCAATCACTCAATCATTCAATCACTAAATCACTAGATAACTCAATCACCCAACCACTCAACCACTCAATCACTAAATAACTCAATCACTCAACCACTAAATCACTAAATAACTCAATCACTCAATCATTGAATCACTCAATCACTAGATAACTCAATCACTCAACCACTCAATCACTAAATAACTCAATCACTCAATCATTCAATCACTCAATCACTAGATAACTCAATCACTCAACCACTCAATCACTAAATAACTCAATCATTCAATCACTCAATCACTAAATCAAGATCACAATCACACTCACTCAATCAATCAATCGATAATCAATCCAGCAAGCAAGCAAGCAAGCATTAGTCATCACTTGGATTCTTGTCATCATCTATCCTCCAGCCTCCAGCCTGTCATTATAGAATTCCTCGATCATTATCATTCCTCATCATGCATCATTCACAAGAATCCTCTGAACGGCAATATTGCAATACTGTGATTTCTGTTGTTGCCGCTCTAAACTTGTTGTTAGCGTAAACCAGGAAGTTCCAACAGGAGAGCCAATGTTGTTCTGCGCCAAACAATTCTACACTGCACATACAAAAGCATCCAAAAGGCATACTCTCCCTCACGCATCCGCTCTCTGTTTGAAAATCAGGAGCTTTTTCTCGCAATTTTCGGGGAAGTGTGGAATATGGTGATTAAGCCGAATTTTAACCAACTCCAATATCACCACAACTGTGTGTAAAACCCATCCCCAAATTAAATGGTAGCTTTATTATTGCCAACTCTTGCACCACTCGTGTTGCAACTTCTGTGGAACCAGTAGCGCGGGCTTGGTTTAAGGGAAAATCTGCAGGAATTCCTATATCTTCCTGGGAATGACAAATATTGAAATAGACTTTTTTGCATACAGACCATTTTGCTGCGGAGCCCTCAAATCACGGGACATAGCATACCCAGGGCCATGTCTATGGGGAACAAAAAACATCGCCGGCGGCCGCAAGGATCAAACTCCTTGGGCCGATCGCGGGCCACAGCCTGAGTCCCCCGGCGCTGACGACGGTGGAACCTCCGGATTGTGACAGCTGATCTGAGTTATGCCAGGGATGCCAGGTCGGGAAGTAGTCACCTGTTTCTGCACCTGTTTCTGCATCTACTGAGATGGTTCTAGGTGTCCACTTCTCACTTCGCTGCAAGGCCAGGTTATCCTGACTTCCGGCTGTGACATCCCCCATTTTGGTGAGATTCCCATACAGAGATGATGGTGCAAATCCCAACTTGTTTGTTCACATAATATTATCTTAAATGATCCTCGACTATCTTAGTCTTAGACGGATGAAATCTATGGAAATCCCGAAATCCAACCTGTTTTTGTTCAGCACTTCAGATCTTCGAGCACGGCCATGCACGGCCTATGTATTGATGGTAAACCCAATAATAAACCATCCGCAATATCGCCATAAATAGTTTGTAAAATTCATCCCCACATGGTAGGGTTATTTTTGGGTTTATCGCATTACCTTGGCACATTTATAGATGATTTAGCTATGAAAGATTTGGGTTTTCCAAAACTATCTTAGATTACCACAGTGTTAAATACTATCTGAATCCATCTAAATCCATCTAAATCCCATTATATTAATATTATGTAAGTCCCATAAAATCCACAACACAAAGTGCCTTCCACATCTCCCCCGGACCCCACCTGCACCGCGGACCGCCGCTGCGTCCGCGATCCCCGTGGCGCCCGCGCAGCCGTCGCGGGCGGCGTCGTTCCGGGCGCAGCGGAAAGGGCCGCTGCGGTGGCTGTCTCCAAGGCGCGCTGCTGGGTCAGTTCGACCTTGGGACATGGAAGGGGTGACACGGTGCACTCAGCAGATTCAGTGCCAAGTTTTTGGGGTTGAATGTATTTGAATGTTAGTTGTTTGAATGTTATTTGAATGTTATTTGAATGTTATGATCATCATGATGTTAGTCATGTTAGTCATGTTAGTCGAGGTTCATATTTAAAAAAAACAGGGATTTTCAGTGCATGGATGATCCATGATGATCCCTGATCAGGCAGGTAACCAGGTAGTGAATGTGTAGTTTAAGCCCCTATGTTCCCATAATATGTCAAAACACATCAGGGGTTTTGGTCACTCCAGTGGGCAGCCGTAAGTATCATAATTATATATAATTATTGGGGTTAGTTACCATACTTCCTGACAAAGGTGGCAGAGCCTAAGACTCGACTATTTTTAGGCGAAGTCGTCTTCCAAAACCTGCGATTTGGATCTGTTTGGCAGGGTCTATGTCAATTTTGGGGGATGCTACATCACAATTTATAGGTGTTTTATGCAAAATTGCTGACACCCGTTTATAACCCAATTGCAGCCAGAAGTTTGGATCGCCAGTGACGAATTTGGCTATGGAAGAAAGTCTGGTCGAGACAATAAACAATTCCAGAGTTTAAACATGTTTAAACCATAGGGTGGACTGGGGTCCAAATTTTCAGACACCCCGAAGCTTAAGGAACCCCCACAAAAATGACAAATATTCATAAATATTCCCTAAAGAATCCCCAAGTACTGGATTTCCCATGGGGAAGTTATAACAAATCACTAGCCAATCAAGGGGAGCAGCATTTTGGACCAATGACGATCCAACCCTGGGTGGGGAAGATTCCAGGATGGGGCAGGGATGAGACCCAGATAGACCCAGAATGAAGGTAAAGTAGAATATAGATTCATAGATGAATATATAGGTGAATATAGTAGGATAGAAGAAGGATAATCATGGATAATCAACTTGAAGATTTGCATGGATTTTTCACTAAGAAATATGGATGTGAACGAAACGGCATCGGCACGGATCGGCACGGATGATGGCTTATGTAAGGGAAAAAATCAGCAGGCGGCCAAAGTTTCGACGATTTCTCTCACTAGCAAATACTGGCTGCCAGAGACAAGCTGTATCAGAGATCCCTCCAAACGCTGGTTGGAATACCTTGATGTATCTTGGTATCTTTATATTTGATCCATGTTGATCCATTTTGATCCATATTGATCTATTTTGATCCTGACTTCCTTGAAATTGTTGTCACTCCATCTGCAGTTTCTTTTCCATGGCATCGTCTGCAAAAACGGCTGTACCCTCAGCAGTGCAATACCTCAATCGTCCGCTGCCCCAAGCGTCGCGCAACAAGAAGCTATTGACAGCCTGGCAGGGTTTCACCCAGCTGTGGTATCTTCACATCCAAGAGGACACACGAAAAAAATCACCGCAAAAAACTATAAGCACCAGCAAGAGCAGCTGCAAGAATCAAGGGAATCTATCACCAGGTACTTCGGATGCTCGTGTTTCCAAGTTACTGGTCCATTGATTTTACGACCAGTGGATGGTTCACCAGAAAAAAAATCCGCCTGCGGCCGTCGTTCACACAGCAATTCTTCCAATCGAAGGATCTCCGGCAAGTTCTCAAGAGGAATGTGTTTCGGTGCAGAACGCTGCGGATGCGTAGATTTTCCATAGACCACCTTGATGTTTCCTGACCGCCAAAAGGGATTGCATGTTGAAAACCCTCTTCTTAAAGCTTGAACATGTCTGAGACATGCACCCGGTAAGTCGAGATTCAATCATGACCATGAAATGAATGGTGGAAAATCCCTCAATGAGTTGGTGTTTTGAAAACCGTTGCTTCCAAAAACTTGGATGATTACGATGATGATTGGGTGCCTCCATTTTAAAAGTTTTAAGAGCCCCCTATATAACATTATAATACATTATATAACTCCTCCAAGGGCTTCGTGCGGCAGGATTCGGCTTAAAACTGATCGTGTGCAATGGGGAAAGCGATGACTGTGGGGTCCCCCATGGTCCCCCTGTTTAGGAAACCGCCATGTGCCAATCAAGAAATATCAAGAATCTCAAAATCTCTCAAAACGAACAAGGATACTGCAAAGGATAGAAAGATTGAAAGACTCCAAACACATACGGCATATCCGGCAAGGGTCTGCACGCTGCACTTTCACATGTCTCATCAGACTCGTTGCAACTCTGCGCGATCTTCCGCAAGTCTCCGATCCGCGCTGCCCGCGAAGCGTCATCGTGTTGCAGGTTTGAAATGTCCCACAGGGTCAAGAGATCTTGGGGTAAGGTCCCTTCAGCAGCCCTCAAGTCCTCATGATAAATGATGACTTCATCCCCCTGCTCCGGAAGGACGGCTAAATACTCTTCAACAAAGTGCCTCAACTCGTCATCCAAGGTATCCAAGGGGGAGAACTTCAATCGCAACCACAAACTCGCATAGTTGCGAAGGATCAGCACCAAGGACTTCAACAAGGGCACTTGGACCAGCCTCGCTTTAAAACCGAGGCCGGAATGGCTGGTTCAACTTGGAAATGAGGTCAACGGCATCTATACCATCCTTGTATTGGGGTTCCTACACCCAAAACAGAAACTTCTTTAGATTTCAGAGTGTTTGTTTATACCTGAAGGGCGATTGATGCAACCATGCCCCATATATAGCTACATTGATGTTGAGAAGCGCTTGGTAGCTGAATGATCATTCAGATTTACTGGTTTGTCTCAAAACTGGGGATACCCGAAAATAACCAGAAAAAAGGCTGAACAATGAGATGAACCATTATATTTGGAGTTTCCCCATTTTGAGCCCTGTACCTCATGTTCATGGTGTTTTTGTTTTTTGTGTGAACCTGCTGTATCAATATGTGCCCATTTTCGTACCGTCCAGGGTCCAGGAAACTTCTTGGCTTCGAAGAACGAATGCGCCACCCACAAAATCGGCTCGGCAGATCGGTTCACGCCCATCTCTGGAAAGCAGTCGCCCAGACTCCGTCCCTTGGTGCTGTAGTATGTCTCAACCTCGGGTTCAGCCACCCCTGAAATTTTATCAATGAAAGAAGAACCAGTCGAAAAAACATTGGAAATCATGGCAGCCCATTCTGTTCCCACTTTTTTGGTGGAATATTCAAGAAGAAAATATTAACAAAACTACCAACGAAACCACTAACCCAGCAACTCCTAGGGTTGGTCTTCCTGTCATTAGTTCAAGCATGAAGCGAACATATGACTGGCCAGAGCCAGGCATGGAAACAAGGAGGTTCACTCCAATCAGGGATGGCGGCATTCTTTTCTCCAGCAGATGATGCCATAAATTGACCGAATCGATTGCCGGCCTCTCATGCACGTGCATGTATGCCACCATGGGCTGAATCTGTAGGGAGCTGCCTTTTTTAGCAGCTAAACAAGTCAAACATCCCCAGAAATCCTTACTGGCAAAGTCCTCAACTTCCCAAGATTGGTACACAGAATTGTGATGCCAAAGCAATCCATAATAGCGCCTTGAGGCATGACCAGCCTCCAGGAAATTCTCTGAAGTGTATTGGATCGCATGGATCATCACTGGATCCAAGCACCGCTGCGCTAACGCTTGATCAGCTGGACCCTCGCAGGAGATCAGGGCCACATCATCGCCCACATCCAGGTATTGTGCATGCAGGAAAAAGTGAATGACTAAGCTCTGAGCGGATCTCGCAATGAAGTGGGCCAGCATCAGTGCAAAGGCCTCCCAATGCGGGTGATCCAACAAAGTGCCTTGATACTGCAGTTGACTCTTGAAATCATAAAGGTCGAAAGGCAGGATCAGCACCGCTTGGTTGACGTCTATGATCGTTTGGTACCTTGCTATCAGCATCTCTTCTATCAGACCTTGATCCTGCGGCAAATCCACCAGTCGAAGGATGCTGCACTGGCATTCCAGCAACACACAGAGGGCTTCCGCCACCTCTTCTCCCACACTACTTCGGACCAGCACAAAAATCTGCCGCCGCTCTGTCACGTAGGAGAACTCGCCATTCTTTGCCAGATCTTGTACAATCGCCCAAATTCTCTGAGATCTAGTGGCTGCGATTCGTTTGGAGTTCAATCTGGGATCGAAGCGAAGCAACAGTCGATTCTGCCCAGCCATTGTACTTTCAAATAAAGCCTTCCGGTCCACCGACTCGACGGCTTGAAGGTAGCCATCCGCAAAGTGAGTGCCGAAGCCATCACTCTCCTCGAAGCATCTACAAGGTACATCAAATCAGTCTATCACAAACATACCCTCTGATAATATCTGATAATCAAACCTGGCTTGAAAATTTGCCATCCATTTAGCTCCAAAGTCAATGCCTATTTTAACTATTTTATTCATATAGGGGATCTTCGCAATCGGATTCAATCGCCATGTTCAGCTCCTTCGCGCCCCACGGAACTCCCACGGAGGCATCAATGACCTCCAGGACCTTCGACCCCTGCGACCCTCGGAACCACTCCGCAGGTAGAAGCTGGAGACGTGTCTCCGATGTCGCCAGACTGGCAGCCCAGAAGACGAACTCGTGTAACCACTGGTTGGCCATCGAAACATTCTGCCCTGGCGGGATATATGAATAGTGTTTGGAACTTAAAATGCTGGGGAAAAAAACACGCTAAAATCATCTAAAATGCAATAGCTTGGAACCAAATTTGTTCCCATGATTATAGGAATGACAAAAAAACAACACCCAAATGGTCGATTGTGTTCATTTAGGGGATGCTCATTAGGGCTAGAGATGGGCACTGGGGCTCTGACTCATGCCCGCATTTGGTCGAACCGATTGAGTAATCTGACAAAAAAAAACTTCTGGCTCAGATGTTCACTCCAAACGCGATGGTTTCAACTTGTTTAAACCAAGTTTTCTCAGACACTCGCCAAAAAAACCACCAGTTGCCTGCAAAATCCAACACCATCTCCTTACAACGGACGCCCTGGTCCCGATGCTCCGCGACGCTGCGGCTGAACTTGCTGCGGATCAGCTCCTCCGAAAATTCCTCCAAATAGCGATGTCCTGGTTCGGGGGATGCTTGAGCCAATAGCCTGAAAAATGGTGTGAGAATTTCTAGCCCTTTGGTAATATGAAAAAAAATGTTGCGTTTTTTTCCCTTAATAAATATGACATGTATAATGATAATGAGTTTGTGCTGATTTACCCCTAGAGTATCCTAGAGTAATATGAAAAACAGAGCAAAACCTTGGTTTAGTACAGTGTTGGATTTATTCATGTTGACAGGTTCCTTGCTGGGGATATCTAAATTTGCTGGGCGATTAGCCACTGGGGATGTGAAGAAATCTTCGAAACCAGCAACCAGTGTCCATCCGCTGAGTCCGGCTGAGATAGGTCGTAAATGTCCGTCCGCAGGTGCAAGGAACGAATGCTTAAATAGCAGAGCCACTGAGCGGATGACTTCATCCTCAGTCCATGGGATGAAACATCTCTCCCTCGCGGCTGACAAAAAGGGCAGCCACGGCAAGTTGAACCGAGTCTGCTGCACCCGGGTGGCATTTCCGCCAACCAAACCGGACCCATTGTGAAGGAACTAACAAATTAGGATTCAAAAGGGTGCAGTGGTATAGTCCAAGCCAATCGTCAAAATTCATCAAAGTTCAAGATCCTGAGACCCACCAGCGTTGGCTACTTTCTGTGTCAAACAATCTCATTTCTAGATACCCAAATTGACTCAGAACGTGAAAATCGATTTGTCTCAAAATGAAAATGTATGAAACTGTCATATTACCCAAAACTTGCCATTTTAACAGGGAATGTAAAGACAAATCGTTGGATTTTAGAGGTACCATTATACCCTATGGATCCAAGTACCTTCTTAGGAAGTGTTTGGGGTATAATTTACTATCATTTGGAGGCTTAAGATGGCTTAAGTACCTTCTCAGACAGTGTTTGGATCCAGAGGGATAGTACCATATCTTCAAAGCAGCAAAATGTCAGCCCAAATCCCGATCTGCTCCCGAACCATGTTCTCGTATTCACTCTTCAACGCCTAGACATCGCATCAACTGGCCGCCCGGTAGGGCCGGTATGGGATCCCGATCCCATTGACGTATGTCAGGGCGTTGCAACCACACAAAATACCATCAAAATAATTATACCCATTCCTGGAAAAAAACTATTAGTTCATCATGTTTCTCTCCATTCACAGGACCATTTTGGGACACATCCAGTTTTGTCTCAAGTACCGAAGGTTTCTCGCCCCGTCCCTGGAAAGCTGCATTTAAGGTATGGAAAGTCATAATCCAGCCATGTTCCAAACCACCAACCAGATATCGTACTTTCATTGATTACATGGGACCGTGTGGGATTATAAACGACCTGGTGACCTAGATCTACCTGGTGTATTGTATAAACTACCGCTCCAACCCACGGACCCCATCGTCCTGAAGCGAATACTCCATGTGGTCCGTAGAGAAGAACGGCAACAGGCGCTGGCAGAGGAGATCTCATCCATCCCCATGATGATCGGATGGTGCAATTTATCTATCCCCAAATGGTAGAAATGGATAGAAATGGTATAGGTTCTATGGCATTGGGTTTACCAGAAAATCATGATTTTACCCTATTTTCCTGACCATTTATAATTTCTATAGGATGTACTCCAAGTTTCAGACAGTCATAAGTTTCAATGCACCACGAAAAAATGGAGAATTTCCCCAGTTGGTGCCTTTATATTTTGGAGCCACCAGCCCCAGACCTGTGTCCACAAAATTCTCATTTCGGAGAAACTGGCGGTAAATAGACTACAGTTGAAATCCCAAGATATGGAAAACATTGGAAAACGACCGCATTCGCATGCTTCAGCCTCACCCATAGAGTTGATCATTGGAGCCTCGCAGAGGTAATCCAAGGTCAACTCTTTTCCGGAGGTCACCTCCGACTACGGCGAAAGGGCCATTTTTGTTCGTCGGAAACGAGGAGATACGAGGAGAAAGCGGAGGCCTAGACCTGAAATTCGCCCCAGGACCTTCAATTTTGACACAAAGCCATGGATGTTGCTTTTGAATCTAGTTCTATACAGCCAAGATTTAGCACGGCACCCCCAAAAATTGCCATGAATCCATCGATTTGCTGAAAGGATGGCCCCAAAAAATAAAACATATGCCATGGCCTATAGATTCCCTATTTCTGGAGCATTTGGCCACCGGAGAATGCAACAAAATCACCGACTCGGCACATCCATAAGAATATGGCTTCGTCTCAAAATGATGGGAAAACCCACATCATTTACCATCTGCTTATGACTAACATAGCCATGGTAGAGATGGCCGAAATAGATGGTTTACCTAGCTATAAAATGGTGATTTTCCATTGCGAACTGTTAGTCATAACCAGATGGTATATATATATTTACCCTCTGCTAAATTAACATAGACCCTGGCAGATAGGGTTTGGAAGACTAGTTTCCATTAAAAATTGGTGATTTTCAGGGTCTATGTTAATTTACCAGAGGGTAAACCATTAAAAACCAATTTACCAATGGCAAAACCCCTTCGAATCTTCCGCAGCCTGGAGGCTGGCATTCACCTCACCGAGCTCTCGTAGGACCTGGCTGTGCTATTTTTTTGGGGGTCAGGATATGCCAGGTCTGCGAAGCAAAAATGATGATATGAACAATGTATATCTGGTTGGTGGTTTGAACCATTGGTTGGTAATGGTTGATATGAAAATGGTTATTTTATGGTTAATGATGGTTAATAATCTGGTTGGTGGTTGAGCCCTACCCCTCTGAAAAATGATGGACTTCGTCAGTTGGGATGATGACATTCCCAATAGTTCCCAATATATGGAAAGTCATAAAAGCCGTGTTCCAAACCACCAACCAGAACAATATTAAAACCGTCACTGGTTGGTGGTGCAATAACCATCTTGAAAAATATGAAAGTCAATGGAAAGGATTATCCCATAAATTATGGAAAAAATAAAAAATGTTCCAAACCACCAACCAGTTCATGAACTAGCAATCAATGGACGTTCGGTTGCCAAATTTAGAAACGACGATTACCATTGGCCCTGTGGCAACCACAGGGCCTATCGCGACCCGACAAAAAAGGCCCCAACTGTTGGCTCTTCAAAGTCTCAGAAAAAACAGATTTCAATACATTTCAACGAATATCTTGCTAACTGGTGGTTGACCTACCCCCTGAAAAATATGAGTTCGTCAGATTGGATCATCATCCCAACTATTGGGGAAAACAAAAGCCATGTTCCAGACCACCAACCAGCTTGGAATGTATGAACCATTTCATGAACCATTTCGTAATCTATACACCTCGTCACCTCGCCCTGTTATCCACCTGATTCACCTGGCCACAATGGAAGAGGACTCCGTGCCTCCTTGCTTCTGGCATTCAACAAACCGCGCTGGAGTGCCTTGACTATGCGGGCTTTGCTGAAAGAGTTCAACAGGGGATAGCCTCTGGAATTTCACCATGCTTAAATAGGTAGACATGTTGTGTTGAGACGGAAAATCATCAAAAAATGAAAAACCATGGAAAAACACCGTGTTTAAGTATAAGATTTGACATGGTTACGGAAAATCGCACTTCTTAATAGCTAAATCATGTATAAATGGGACATAGTTTTGTTAAATTACCGGGGGGAAGGTGATAAGACCATAAGTAGTTTATAGTTTATATCAATCTACTGAAAGGAACAGCAAATCATAGCAATACTTGGATAGTTGACAACACTGAGAAGAAAACGGACATGGGTGTGGGCCAAGAATTGGGTGCCAATACAAAACTGATCAGTTTTAGTTTAACAGACTATATTAGACTAACATGTTTACCAACCATTCCTGGGAATCGTTGTAATTGCACATGAAAAACAGGGATTGGTAAATGTCCCATTTTGGGTATATTGGACATCACCCTATAGTAGCCATTATAGACCATATACCTAATGGTTGGGTGATGTTCAATGGGGACATTTAATGACCCATGAAAAATGTGAAACAATGTCAGGCTTCCAAACATTAAACCCCGCCTCCCCTGGCGGCTATACTTGGCTGCAGGCTGGCGTTCTGGTCCCATTGAGCTGGATCAAAACCATCTTGGTGCGCACCTGCCGTGCGCTGGAAGCCCCTGGGACGGACAAGATCTCATGAACATGTGAAGGAAAAAAAAACGATCAAAACATGAGGAATCCGTTATTTTTTGGGCAATCATCATCATCATCATCATCATCATCATCATCATCATCATCCTCGTCATCATCATCATCATCATCATCATCATCATCATCATCATCATCATCATCATCATCATCACATATCATATCATATCATATCATATCATATAATCTTCTTCTTCATCTTCTTCTCGACGTCAACCGCTGTATTTTCTCAGCTTGTCGTCTCTGCAAGGCCAAGGTCCCCAGCGAAGGAGCCACCACCCACTTGGAAGCGGAGCAAGGCCCAAGCGACCTGAGCCGAGGCAAATCATACCAGGATGTTGAGGGAATCCTTGAGTATCTCATCTACAGAATCTATGCACACTCACGTGCTGAGATTTTTGGCTATCTCCATCTATCTCCATTGTTTTTGCCCTCAACTTGATCCGCGAATTCGGTCAGTTGCTGGAGAACTCAGCTAATTGCTGTTGGTAGACTTGATCATCTCATCATCAGACTCGGTCAACACCCTGGGGCCCATGCAGTTCATGTGAAAGTAGCTGCTAGTTACCACTATGGATTCTCATCCCTTTCAAAATTCTAGAGCTATTGATCCACAGCTGGTGGTTAAACACCCAGTTATATAAATCCTTCTCTTACTCGGCTAAAGCCAAAGCCAGGCTCCCAAACGGTACGGTCATCCAGTTGGCGGCACAGCTCCTGAAGTCCATGGGTCGCCAATGAAAATCCCCATCATGTCTCATTATATACTAGTTGGTTTAACCCCCATTGAACAATATAATATAATCATTTATTATACCCCATGAAACCCGTCAAAATCCTTTTTTTTTCTGTTGCTTAATCCTTATAAACGGCATTCTATGTCATTCATGCGGCAAGGGCCGAACATATAAAGACCATCCCCCAGGACTCACCATGAACGGTGTGTAAAGCCATCCCCAAATGGTAGGCTTACCCTCCAGGTACACATGGCTATGGTTCGATCCTCCATTTGTCGGGCATGTTCCAGCTTGCCACGTATGATGAATCCGGCGGGTCATTTCCTATAAAAATCACCATTCATCACTGTTATCAAATTACTATTAATACCACTGTTAATCATTGACATTCCATGATTAATCATTGATATTCATGGCCTACCCATGTTTACCCTCCAGTAAATTAACATAGACCCTGCCAGATAGGGATTGGAAGACTAGTTTCCACAAAATAAATTGGTCATGTTCAGGGTCTATGTTAATTTACCAGAGGGTACCATGAACCTCTCCCCCAGAAAAACTCCCATGAACTCGGCCAAAAACACGAAACA